TTGGTCGACAAACAGAATTTCTTAATCAAAATTTAAACCGATAGATTGGAAGAGGTCCAGCAGTTCCTTGGCCAGCAAGATCACCTGACCTTAATCCCTTAGATTACTTTTTATGCAGAAAGTATTGAAAACAGGGAACTTGTAGCTAGAATTATGGATACCGCAGAAACTATTCGTGCTGATAATGAGACTGTTAGCAGAGCTGCCACTTCCTATAAGAAGAGCTAAAGTATGTATATAGCAACTGGATGGATATATTGATAATTGAATAAAATAAAATATAAATAAATAAAAAGTAACAACATAAAAAATAAAGCGATTCCTTTTAAATGGTCTTTAAAATTACGCATAATAAGGGCATCAAAACTAAGAAATTATTACAACCGTCTGATTAGAAATATGCTGCTATAGAGTTTGGTGCATAATATGTCCATGTGAACTGTCCACTTCAATGAGTCATCTATATGAATGCCCAACCACTTAACTGATTTAACTTTGTGAAGTTTGAGATTGCTTGAGATTGTCAGTCTAAGGCACACTTTGTTTTGAATAAACGATTCCGGAGCCTTATCTTCGAGCAAGTTTGAGTTATATGTTAGGATATTAACATAGTTCTAAACATTAGTTAAAGTAATATCGTCGGCAGCAGGAAATAAAAACTAACATAGGTCATTTATATATAATGTGAATAAAATGGGACCCAGTATCGATCTCTGAGGGACTCCATGATTGACTGATTCACTGGTGAGATTTGCAAGATATGATTGAAAAAGTTTCCGTAGTTCCCTAAAGCCACAAAAACATTCTAGTTTGTTTAGTATAATTTTATGATTAATGGAGTCGAAGGCCTAGAGTGATGGACACTCCGGACACTCCTCAACGCCCAAAATAACGCGGTCGATGATTGAAGTGATAGCAGTCAGTTTAGGGTTAAGAAGATTATTAGATTCCCTGTAATTTAGAATACAGGGCTCTAGAATTCGTTCAAACACATTTTCCAAACATGTTAATTATTGAGATAGGGCGACAGTTACTAACATCCTCTGTGACGCCGTTCTCAAATATAGGGACCACGCGGCTGATGCTTAACGAGTCAGGAAAGTATACTTCAGAAATGCACGAATTGAAAAGATGAACGAAAGGTAAAACCACTTACTCAGCACAATGCTTTATTATTTTAGCATTTAAATAATAAAAATCCTCAAATTGGAATTTTTGTAGATTTATTATGCATTTGACACCTCAGTTGCTGTCACTGTTCCCATAAAAAATGAGTTTTAGGTTTCTAGGGTCATGTTTTATGAGAGGTAACTTTTAGTAGGGTTTCAACGGCTGATGTAAAAAAGTCATTAGACTGGTTAGGAATAATATTTGTGTCAAAATCTTGTATGTTTTCACTGCGTTCATAATTGACCGGGTTCCAGCTATCTTTAATTTTATTATTAAAGCGTACCATAAGACTGTTGTAGCTCTGTGTCTTTGTCATTTTATGTCGATATTTATTGAAAAGAAGTTGCCTTTAAGGACTTAACTGTGCTCCTCAAGCACCTAAGTTCACGAGTGACCAGTTAGAAATTAATTTTTCATTAAAGCTTCTTTTTTTTTAATGGAATATTATTTATTCTGTTTAAAATAAGTTTGTTGTTGTTGTTTGTTCAAATTTGTATTATTTCTGATATCTCTATAGTTATGTTGCTGCCCTTTAAATAAGACACCTGCATGTTGATAGTTTGCACGTAGTGATCAGGTACAGTTATTACTAGTTGCAGACAGTAAAATATAGTTGAGTAAATATTAAAAGAATCTATTAAGCTTTTCAAATGGAATGAGTTGTATAGAAAATTGACATCAATCAATAACAAATCACCTGTTATTATTATACTTGTGTCTCGAAGATACCCAAAAATATGTCAAAAATTTTGTTTCAAAAGACTCAGCAAGGAATTCAGAGCCAAATGAACAAGCCCAAACTGGTCACGGCAACATTCCCATTGATCTGCTTATTACTACCAAAAATATGAGACAATGTTAAAATTAACTATCTTAACACACGCCCTCCAACAGTCAGTGTTTAGACAAACAATGAACTAGAAATTTATGATTTATCAAAAATACAGATAACATCCACACGTTTATTGTTTATTGAAAGTTGTGTCTCTTTCGTAAGCAAAAATCAAGGACATTCAAATTGATTATTATGCTTATTAATACAGAAATTTGAGACAATGTTAAAATTAATTATCTTCAGTTGCCCCCCGAGAGTCAGTCAATGAACTAGAACTTTGTGATCAAATAACATCCACACGTTTATTGTTTATTGAAAGTTGTGTCTCGTCTTGATTTTTTTTCTTATTTTCCGGTTTATTTCGAAAACGGGCAATTTTTAGAAACAATGGCGAGAGTTATGAAAGTTCTAAATTGAAGCGTGAATCTTATCCTTTCCCAACTAAAAATCAGGGACGTTCCAAAAAAAAACTTTGGGGTAACTAAAGGGTCCAGAAATGTACAAATGTAGATGATGCAAAGCTTCAAACTCAAAGCTTCGAATATTGAACAAGTATATCAAATTTCAGCTCTTTATTTTAAAAATTGTGGAAGATAAAAATCTTTGATACCCTGCACTTGGAAAATAAAGATTTTTCTTTCTTTCTTTGTTTTTATACATTTTTTTCTTATTTCAATCTGAGGAACATGCTCCTTGGTTGGGGGCTCTGTATTAATGAATCACACTGTAGACTAGTCACGGAAAGATAGAGAACAGAAATAAGGGTTATAATGAAGAAGAAAATGAACGAGCCAACAACAACATATATATTTTTTTATTGTGGACGCAATTTTAATGCTAGAGACAATATATTAGAAGAAATGTCCTCTCATAGGCTATCTTGCGCACCGAGCCACATCTACCGGCCAAATTTCCAACTGTAATATTCTACGTAGATTCTCTTTGTCTGCAAATAAAATCGATATTAGGAACGGCTACTGTTCTAATAGAGGCCCGTGTATACATTATATACATGATTTTATAAATTTGAATCTAACCATCCGATTAGTGCGAAAATTGGCACTCAAAAATTCACATATTTAAACAGCCACTTGGAATTTTGACACGTTTTTTTCTCTTTCTATTGTATACCGACACTTAAATAGTTATTCAGTCGTAGACAAAATATTTCGAGCGTGGAGCTTTGAATTGGAACAGCACATGGCTTTTGAGAGTGCATTTTAACAATATATAAGGCTCTTTAGTGACCTGAGAAGAGAGCACGTGTTGTAAGGACAAAGCAATGACTTTTAAGGGGGCATTTATTTATTGCCGAATTTATTTAAAAAAAAAGGGTTCATAAAAGCGAAAATGGGAGTGGGATAAAATTGACTTCGCTCATCATAAGGTCCACAGCAGATAACCCGTCTAAATTACACAAGGCGTTACAAAAATACCCTGCCAAACTTTAATATTATGTATATTTCAATACTGTAAATCTCTATTTGGAATTGGGGATGTCAATTTTTCGGGAACTGAAAATTAATAGCAACATCGTCGATGACAATATGACGTTAATTATCGAAAAGAAAACAAAACCAATTACGAATGGAAATTAACAAAACATCGGTAAATGAAAAGTAAACAAAAAGGACAGTCAATTATTTTAAACCAACTAACTTCGCGTCGGCCGTGTTATTAGATGATACAAAAAATGCGATATTTGATAAGGTTAACATTAAAATGTGGGCGCCCATCGATTTTCCGTTTTAACCCCCCTTCCGCAGTTGAACTCGTTCTACGTTAATGGTTGGCTTTTCGTGTCTAATATGTGGTAGTAAGAATATACCAAATTCCTAAATAAATCTTCAAAAAAAAAAGAATTGGAAGATGCCAGAAGAATACAGATAGAAGAAATGGGTAAGACTTCAGTGATTAACGCGATCAGTTTCAAGAACAATGGAATTTGGATGATATCGTAGTAAAGAAATGCAAGTGTTGCATATATGGATATTTCCAGAACATTCTCGTTAATTGTAAGAAAGGCACCAAGTCTAACATATTTAAATTAATACTGTGCACGTTTCGGTTAAGCAATGATCATCAGCAGTACATTTACAAACCATACAAAAAGACAAGAAGAAAACAAATGGGGTTTGAGACCTGTGACTAAAGTATCGGAAATGTTGAAACTTGGCTCGCGACCCATTTGTAACGAAGCTAACGTCTAAAAGTGACGCTTCCGCATGCTTGATCAGTGAATAATTAATTGGGTATTTTTGAATAGGGAGTACAAAATAATTAATTATGCAGGAAGTTCAATAAACGCCATTTCAGTCACGAGTGACTGTAGAAGTTTATCAACGTTTTTCATACTATTTTTTTTTGCGAGTGACGTGTCACTCGGACCGTCAAAATTGACATGCGTCAAAATACAAACTATAGCTATTATCTCCGAAAACATCCGATCGCTTCCAAACCCGTGACTCAAATTCCGGCAGAGTCCGAAGTGATTCGCAGAGGGGAAAAATAGGGTAGGTCAAATTGGACACTTTTTTGAAACTGCCCTTTCTAAAAGCGAAAAACGACAAGTAATGTAGTTCTCTATGGCTCGATTTTCACGTAAAACATATCTTTTTTATTTAAATCTTGTAAATTTGTTGTAGAAAATTTTGTATTTCTGGAGCGATATTTCTAGAGAACTTTATAAGAAAAATTTAAAGGCGCAAATATACTATTTTTAAAACTAATATTTTTTTATTTATAATCAAAAAGAAATGAAAATTATCTTGCCAAAAATAAAGCACACTTGTAGTAGCTGATAGATACAAATTAAGCGTTTTCAATTTATTTTTTAAATTGAACTTGGGAGATTCAACTTTGCCTATGGGAGAGAGTTAATGTAATTGGGACATCCAAATGAACTAATTTAAGCAATGTTTAAATGACGCTGGCGTACTGAGTGGCAGACTGGTAGATCCGTCAAGGTCCGTCCGTATGTCAACTTTTCAAAATTAAAACTTAAGACTGGTCCCTTTTTTTATTTAATATGTATTATTGATTCCGACAGTTTTTTTTTCATATATTATATCCGTTGCAGATGTACTATTGACGACGGTTGCATTAAATATGTTATAGGTGAGGCCACGTTTCTTTATAGTCATTTAATGCTTACTACCTAAAATTTAGTTTAGACTAATTTAATTTATTTTTTATTTTCGTATTTCTTTTTAAGGATTTCCATTATCTAAAAAGAGTTTAATGATCTCTTCTGTAATCATTTGCATCCTGCGCCCAACGAAAAGAAGATATTCAGTTCCTCCATGTAGATGCCATTACAAATACTGTTATCGAACTATTTTTACTGCATATACGCTATAATAAATTATCGCCCGCGAAGATAGGGGTCGTAGATGTACGATGGCGATTAACTTACACAGCTTTAACTCGAGTCACGCAACGAGTCGTTCGCAATTAGATAATATGATCGTAATTTATTTCACGTTAGGTATTTTACTACTTTTAATTCCTTTTTGTTTTTAACGAAGAAACCTCGCGACTTAATGACCGTAATAGGGACCCCCCGAGAGACTCCGACACTGTTTCAGGTTTCCGCGTTGAAAATTCGATCCACGTGCCTTCGGCGAAAAGCTAAGGGCGTCGTCTGCAAGCAAATGGTGAGGATGGTTTACAACGATCGAAACCTTGTCCGGCCGAGAAAAAGCGGCGGCTGGACATCCGAGCCCATCAAACCCAAGAAGGAAATGGTGTTCAGGATTGAGGAACGACACAGTTTTCCTACGCGGGTTCTTGAGAATACGGAGTGAGTTGGAAACATTAAATATACCTTACAGGTGGTATATTTATGTTTTAGTGCAACCGGGGCGGCAAACTCATCTGAAACCGGCAGCAGTACTTCGGTTATGAAGTCGACGATGAAAGAGTTGGAGCAATATTGCGAAAAAACAACGCTGCATGGTTTGAGATACGTGGGAGATTCTACTTTGTCAATAGGGGAAAGGTAATGGTCGTCATCACCAAGAAATTGTGACAATAAAATGAAACCTATCACGGACTCAAAAACAATTATATCTGTTTTTGCATTTTCTTCTTCATGCTTCAGTCCCAAAAACTAATTATACCATATATTTCTAGAATATTTTGGTTCATTTCGTTCTCACTCGCGATCGGTTTTGCCGCCTATTACATCACGAATATTTACGAAAAATGGCGATCGAGTCCGGTCATAATCAGTTTTAGCCCTTTCGATGCTGATTTGACCTCCATTCCATTTCCTGCGATCACTATCTGCAATATGAACCAAGCAAAGAACTCCGAAGCCGAGAGAATATTGAGGGAAGGGTAAGAGTTGAACCAAAAATCAATACGAATCGATGGATAGCACTTGTTTTGGAGAAATATTTCGAAAATGGCAAAATTTTGGTATATACGAAGTCTGAGCCGACTACGGTGAAATTGATTTTCTCATAATTTTTTACTCTAAAAAAACAACCCATTTAGAAAAAAATATTGTGGTATGGTCTTTGTACACTTTAGGTTGTTGTAATTGCAATGTTGAGAATTAAATTCGCAAAAATTAAATAGATTTAGAAGTTCGGAAAAAACAAAATCATTTGATCAATAGAGCATTTTTGACTTCTACAAAAGGTGAAGTATAAAAAGTTGCAATAAATTCTTAAACGAAATAATGCGAAAAGGAATACATTATTTATTTTACCAGGATCGTCGTTACCTACCGTTATTTCGAATAAATACTCGATAGTCTGTAGTTACAAGATAGTAACAACGCCTTCTAATGGCTAGGTGTTCGTAGTATTGGATTTACAAAACAGCATATCAGAAGTGAATTGATAGATATTGACTTTTATGATCCATTGTATTTTCTATTGTAGAAGCAATATCGAAAAGAAATTGCTGGACGACAGTTGCAACGGTAACGCTACTTTTAATGACAACGAACACATCAGTTGGGAGGATTTAAGAAACTTCTTGGTCAGAGTAAGGCATTATCGGACAATCTAAATTCCCAATAAGCAAGTAAAACATTTTCAGGTGGGCAATTCCTGCTCCGATATGTTGAAGTTTTGCCAATGGGGCAGCCAGAAACTGGACTGCGAGATGGCCTTTAATAACGATCTTACTGACGAAGGATTGTGTTGTTCCTTTAACAGGCTGCCTCCGGAGAAAATATTTAGAAACTGGTATGTATCCAATTCGTAACTACTATGGACGAGTGAATATACATCTCATTGAGGAGTGCTTCAATTTATCTACTATAGCTGAAAATATGCACACTTTCACACAAACACTTTCAATGTGACGACATTTATTGCTAAGTATGACCGTTTTCAGAAACTAAGAACGAAAGCGCTGAAAGACCACCAAAAATAAAATATAAGTGTTTATTCTGATAGCATAATAATAAAAATTGGCAGTTAGTTTTTTTTTTTGACATGACGTTACTTACAGAGGGCGTTAGTTTCAACGTATTATTTAGACCAGTGGCTCCCAAACTTTTTTTCTCATAGGTCACTTCTAAAATTTAACTGGTTCCGGTGAATTTCCTGCAGCTACTAAGAACGAAAGCGCTGAAAGGCCACCAAAAATAAAGTATAAGTGTTTATTCTGATAGCATAATAATAAAAATTATCAGTTAGTTTTTTTTTACATGACGTTACTCACAGAGGGCGTTAGTTTCAACGTATTATTTAGATCAGTGGCTCTCAGACTTTTTTTTCTCATAGGTCACTTCTAAAATTTAACTGGTTCCGGTGAATCTCCTGCAGCTACTAAGAACGAAAGCGCTGAAAGGTTACCAAAAATAAAAATAAGTGTTTATTCTGATAGCATAATAATAAAAATTGGCAGTTAGTTTTTTTTGACATTACGTTACTCACAGAGGGCGTTAGTTTCAACGTATTATTTAGATCAGTGGCTCCCAGACTTTTTTTCTCATAGGTCACTTCTAAAATTTAACTGGTTCCGGTGAATCTCCTGCGGCTACAATTCAGATAAATCGAATTATTTTTTTTGTCTTTTATGGTTGAAAAGTAATGAAAATCAGAAAGCATGTTTAATTTCTCATAGACAAGGTTTTTTTGCTTTCGCCGTCTATTTCAGTCGGTTTTTCTCAATTAATAAGAAAATACAAAATATCTCCGAAAGCAGTGACAGTTCAGAGAGAGCCAACTTATTTTTCAGAAATTCTGACTTAAGTCAAGTATATATTCTAACTAATTTTCCAAAAATTCTGAGTTAATCCTCAAAAAAATTGTCAGCACGTTAGTAAGTTTTTTCTGGAATTTTGATGGCTGGACGCATCCACATTTCAATATTTCAAACGATATAGAAATGTAGATTTTGTTTATTTTTCAGATATACTGACCAATTTTCAGCAATTCTGACTTATATTCTAAAAATTCTGACTATTCTTTAAAGAAAAAGCTTTATTATACTAAAACATATATTCTCTTTTTGGTGACTTTTTCACCACTTTCGTAGCGTTCGACGTAAAATTTTTCAGGGATTTTGATGGCTGGGCTCATCCACATTTCGATATTTCAAACGATATAGAAATGTAGGTTTGCATTAGTCCGATATTATAGATTGAGAGACCATCGCATGTTCATGTGACCGCACAGTATTCAAATAAATGGATAACAAACCGGTATTTTAAGTCGACCAGCGGCCAAATAATGTGTCTTGATATAAATCAAGCTATTTATTGTAACACCCCAATTTGGAAACAAGCGGTTACGTGGAATTAATCTTTACAAAATATTACACAGCGGAACACTGTCAGTGTAGGTATCGAATATAAAATAATTGTCACAAAAACATAATTTTACCACTCCTATTAACACCCTCAAACTAAAGGCATTTTAGAATTGTGCATGCCACTATAAAGAAATTACTTGAATTTGTTTGGTTGAGGGAGACCGAAGTCAAAATGTCCATCTACAAGCAACTACTAACTAAACAACTATGAGGTTGATGACATCCTTTGTTCTGGCAGCGATGGCAATTTTCAAGTAATATCTATCTATCTGAAATACTGTTCTCTTAATCCAAAATTAACTTAACAACCAATTTCTCACACAAATTAAGTTGACAATTACAATTTACAAATGACAACTGTTTCCAAACCAAGTTTCCAAGTTGTGACGACAATGCTTCTTTCTCGATAAATTATTCAATTAGGAAGGACATTGGCATATTAAATCAGACCTATCCGAGCAACGTTTATGACTGGAATCCAGAATCTGGATTTCAGCATGCCACTGAAGACGAAAACATAGTTCCGAAGCGACCTTTAGGTGAGCCTTCTATTGCTAATCACGAACTACGTTCTCGATCTAGGAAATTTTCAGGTGCCGGCGCTCACTTGGGCCTTTCCGTCATTTTGGATGCTCAGATAGACAACTACTATTGTTCGTCGACAAGCAGCACAGGATTTAAGGTCATTCAAAGGGCGCCATTTAAAAATAAAAGTTTGTCGCATTTCTTTAGGTGATTCTGTCGAATCCGATCGAGACTCCGAAAATGGCGGACTTTGGTTTCCTTGTCAGTCCGGGCTTCGAGACGCGCATATCCATTGAACCTTCTGTGAGAGAAGCCACTGATTCCTTGAGGGGGGTGGCCATTGAAAAAAGGCAGTGCTACTTTTCCAATGAAAGGCCCTTACAGTATTATAGGTAAATAACCCATTCGATAATCGTATGCACTTTTCGATTACTACCCCCCCTACCCCAACAGGTGTAGAATAATATTTTATTAAGATAAATCTAGATGAAGAAGATTGATAAATGATACATGTTTTGTTTGCCAATTGTTATCAAAAAATAGTGAAGTTGAAAGGGTAACTAATTTAAGATAAATTAAATCTTTTGAAATCCAGCGGACTGTATAGCGCGCTTCTACTTAATGAACACTCATTTTTCATTTTCCAAGGAAAGTAGTGATGTGTAAAGTATGGAGCAAGCAAAGTTCTAAAGGTTGTCTAGGTACGAACAATTTGTGCCTTCAATTGCGTGACGCGACAAAATGGAAAATATAATAATTCCTCGATTCGTTCGCTTTTTAGGCATTATTCGAAAAAACACTGCCAACTCGAATGCCAATCCATGAGGTCGTTAGAAATGTGCGATTGTGAGCCTTTTTATCTCCCAGGTAAGTAATATGGTTTATGTCAATTACGGTGGTGATGAGTAATAGAGATTTTAGGTAATCAGTCAACCACCAAGTATTGTAAAATTCGCAACTGGTGTGTGACCAGAACTAACGGTAATTTTTGTTTATTTTTTTTTTGCAAAATTTGACCCACAAATATTTTAGAGTTAATCGGGCGGCAAGACGGCTCTCAAAGCGACATTGCACGCAAAAGGTACCGCGTATTACTAAAGTACCAGCACTATCGAAAGCTAACACATTTTCAGAACGGACTGTCAGTGCTTAGGCGGATGCGTTTCAGTTGAATATGCATATCAAAAATCCGCCTGCAAAATTAGACAAAGCTTCAACAAAACCCATAACGTGTTTTACAAGTAAGAAAATATTTTTTAATTGCTCGAAACAATGCACCGAAATATGAAAAATATTTGTATATAAATTTGACACCGCTCTTAAAGCGGTTTCTTAAAATTTGAGTGACAATGTTACTAAATTTCAGCAAAAATATCGCCAAGCTCGACTTGTATTTCCAAAACAATAAGTACACGAAAATCTCCAAAAGGGCTGTTTACGACTTTACTGACCTTCTTTGTAAGTGATAAGTATATAAAACTATGTTGCTAATTCTAACCGTTAATTTTCCAGCATTTACCGGTGGTTTGTTGGGAGTGTTTTTGGGTTTTAGTCTCCTTAGCGGGATTGAAGTTTCCTTTTATCTGCTTCGAGGTGTTTTGAAGAGGAAAATCTTGAAGAAGAGAGTAAAAAAAATGACCATAACCGAAAGTGTATTCCCGTTTTCGAACTAAATTATAAGAGGAAGACGCCCTCTCTAAGCACATGACCGGCTATACTGCACATAAATAAACATGTATTACTTAGCAAGTTAAGTATTTCATTGTCCAATTCCTTGATAAAATTCTATCGATTGACCAAATAATGCAATTATACCACAAGAAGTTATATCCAAATCCTAATTTTGACTGATTTGATTGAGCCAGTCAGATTCAACGCTTGGAACAGTCAAAGTTGCTGCGATGTCACCATAGGTGTAGCTTACCTATGAAAACTGAATGGAGGATGATTAATTAATTAATAAACCCTCCTCCAAATTTGAAATGTCAAAAATTCCAAAGCATGCGACGTCTTATCTAATAAGTCAACATTTTTACAGGTTGTAGTAAAATGCGCCACTGGTGCGTATGATTGGTCCATTCGCCCAAAAATATTAAAGCCTTGTATATAATTGGATATAATTTTCACACGTTCAATTCTTTGAGTCGTTACGAATGATGCGAGCTTTTCGAGCTTTCAGAGTGAAGAGGGTGAAAGGGTGAAACGTATCACATTATTATGAAAGGGTTGTTTTCACATGAGTTTGAAACTTGCTTTAGAGTGTGCGCAATTGGTCTTTACCTTTCCACAGGAGTTTGATCCTAGTTTCAACCCACTAGTCTGTTGCAAATTGTTGCCACGTACGCGTAATACAACGTCTCAGCGTTTTGAGGTTATATCATTATAAGTATTTTTTTGCAAAAGTAAAAATTATGGTATAAGATTCAGGAATATCAAAAATAAATTCCTCAAGTGAAATTTCCTGAAGAAGAACTAACAGCTGTCGAGATTTTTGCACATTTTTCTCTGGTTTTCTAGTTATCAAACTGGCGGGTTACGCGATGTAGATAATAATAAAGCGATAAGATAATAAAGTGAATGGTATATTTTTGAAGTAATTTAGAACTTGGAAAAATAAAATAGCTAAAATTACTTGTGTAGTTAATGATAATACATATGTCGCTATCTACATATTTTTTTAGAAGAGAAGCTTATAGTATGGGCTATATTTATTGCATATCCAGGCTCGGTACATAATGTTGGAGTCTGGTAATGACCTCGGATAGAGGAATGTTAACTAGGGTTCAAGTTAATTACAACATTTTTCACTCCTCCGTCGGGATTTATATGGAAAAATTGAGGCACTTCTATTATATTAAATTAAGAGATACTGCTAATGGTGTCTGCTAAATAATCTGCATTTAATGACAATTGTAAAATTGCTAATGATCATTGAGTCACAGAATAATAACAATGACGATGATTGCGGAGACGGTAACATCCAATAAAGGTATTCTACAAGATAGTAATTTTCGAACAAATAAATTTATGATAATGTATAAATACTCAAAATTTAATATATACTAACAAACGTGAACAACCAATAACTAACCAAAACTAACCAATAAAGGTAACCTATAATAATAAGGTCGGCCTTTCTTTTTTATTATTTCAGACTTTAGCTGCATGAAGATTAGTCTATGCAACTCATTACTGAGCCTATTTTCACATGGACCAGAAAAAGTTTCCGCTTTCTCTCAATCAATATAGTTAAAAACCTCAAATTTTTTCTTTAGGATTAAAAAAAATATATATAAACCTTATGAAACTGTTTTTAGAATCCTTATTTAAAGCTGCCAATATATTTTTTGAACCAAGCCAATAAAATGAATGTAACAAAAGAAGCTTTTCATAGTTTTAAACGCTCATATAGATAATTCCACAATATCTTACCAACCATTCTGTTCGGTCTCCTGAAAATTATGTTTAAAGCGCAACCAAGCAATGTGTTTCCCGGGAACAGCAAAAAATTGAAGGCATATTAGCGTTGATTTATTTTATTCGTTTACTATGTTTTAGATCGTACACTCAGGTCAACTGCATGCTCGAATGCCAATCGAATTTTACCCTAAGGGAGTGCAAGTGTATCCCGTATTATTTGCCAAGTAAGACCTTTAATGAAAAAAACGCATATCTATACAAATCGGTAGAGAACGTTACGGATTTGAACTTTAAAAAATAGTTTTAAGGAAATTGTAAATTTTCAGAGAATAAATTCGTTAAAAATTGCGACAAAGTGGACGACAATTGCGTAAAACGAATTAAGGTGGAGGTTGAGGATTTGAAAAACGGCAGGTGAGTTTATTAAAGGCAAAGAACACATCGCGCGGGCGTTAAGTTAGAACTTATTTTGCTTCGCAGTTTTCTTACGGGGGAATGTAACTGCAAACCCGGTTGTTTTCAATATCAGTTCGGACATATCACTTCGCAATCGACTTTGATGGCCGATGCATTTGTGAATATAGAAAACGTGAAACGTATTAAGAAGTGAGTAACGCGATTTCAGTTTGAAACCATCAAACTAAGTTAAATCATTTCTTCGTAGGAGTAGTTTGGCTCTTATCAAATATCATTTTGCAGCCGAAGCTTATCAAAAACAGAACAAAGGTGTGCTTTTTGGGTTTGCAGAAATTTTGTGTAAGTTACTTATACAGGGTATAATACGTTATCTTCAAAATTTTGTTTTATCCAAAAGTCTCAGTTAAAACACAAGATGTTACTTAATGATAAGCTGTAATTAGTCGTGATTTAAGAAGCTGTTTATTGTTCATATCTCGAAGATCTTTTTTGGCGACCTTGTTCGCATTGGCAGTATAATCCGAGGTTAATTTATCGTCAATTGAAATGTAATTATGAATTTGAGTGGCACCAATGGGGCTTCTTACCTATTATGTTTATAAAAAAAAAAGTTCGCCACTGGATTTAAAGGTTTTATATATTTTTTTTGTATTAGGCAGTTTGTGCAAAACTCTTTTTATCTCTCGATATTAGTTCCCATATTTCATAAGCATTCTTTACTTTTCTAATTAAAAAAAACAAAATGGTTTGATTATCCTACATTATATCAAGTTGGTTATTTCGTATTCCAGCAGTGTTAAGACTATATTTTAACGCAACGTATATTTTACCAAAAATGTTTGTGTTTTTTGGGGAGGCTTGAATTTTAGCGGTAAATCTTACATAGTTTGCAAAATACCTGGATAAATAACCATAACAAACCAAGCAATATGTGAAGCCATTTTAGTGAAACGACTAAAACTAGTATAGGGAAGTTACGCAATAAAGACGACATCTCACATTTTTATCCAGAAATATTATATGAAGATTTTGCTGTAGAGGAACAATGTCTCTAATTTCGGCACTTAGATATATCGTTGTATATTTTTAGCGAATTTTGGAGGTATTTTAGGACTCTGTCTGGGTCTGAGTTTTTTGAGCATCATGGAAATTATATATTTCATGGTTTTAAGACCCATTTGTCGTCGATTGACAAATGTAAAAAAGCAAGCGCCTGTGACCGATCAAATCACAAGGATATTAAACGACCGACCTCAAAAATAAACCAAATAACTGGACCCGTTGAAAAACCCACAAAACTTATTGCTGTTTGTCTTGGAGCATAAAAAATATTCGCATTTAATTGATCCGCAGTTTTATTTACCATGGCATGGATAAAATTAAAATATACCTCTCATTTTATTAGTTATATAATATGAATTATCAGGTACATGAAACAAAAACCATCAAAACTATTATTACTTAATACATTTTGACTATATTCTTGACATGGTGGAAGCTAGTTGATATGCAATAGTGTCGGATTTAACATCTGTCGATGCAATTTTTATGTCAAATATTCTTCTTCAATTCACAAACGGAAATCGAATTCCTGCGTTTTGCATAGGATTCCATTTCTACCATTTTCAGGGTTGCAAGCTAAACACTGCATTGAAGAATTTTCAACAGTTGACACACTCCCATTAAACGTCTCTTCCAACGCGAAACAAGACCTGAAAAAAACTGATTTCAGATGATGTGTAAAAGTTTATTTCACTTAAAATGCTCAAATCAATGTGCTTGAAGAAAACAATTTTAATATCTTACATTTTCCAGTTTTTTCAACTTTTCGTAATTTTTAACCTTGTTTGAAGTCATCTTCAATTAATATGGCACATCCATTCTCTTTAATATCAATGACGCAATAAGCTCCCCAAAGACTCAAATGCAAAAGATCTACAATGATTCCTCTATTCATATATTTCACCTAAGTCCTAATTTTAATAAAAAACTATTGATGTTTTTCTATGACTCCATACGGCCGTGGTAAGATTAGGTCATCTCCAGTAGCATATCCATAATAATTAATCAGATTAATACATTTTTCTTTTTTAATTAATTAGTAAATTAAATTTTCATGTAAACATTTTTCTAGTTATTATCTAAGAATAGTATTAGACTAACTATGTGTACTCTGTAAATTTTTATGTTTGTACATTATGTTGAGTACCGAAATAAACAAATAAATAAAGAAATAAATAACCAATTCGTGAATCTCTGCTATAATTTATGCAATATTTGCTTACTGTCGCAGATGAAAATAGGGTTGCGATTTTTCAAAATTTTCGTTGTGTGGCTTTATAAATATAATAAATATCAATAACTAACTGATCAAAACAGGTTTAAAGCCTATTAAGTAGCGAACGAGAATAAATTAGATCCAGCTTGTATACAGAAAAAATATATCACATCCAACAATTGGAAAAATTGTCGAAATTTTAAGAATTATTTTTTCATTCTTAATTTTCTTAAAATTCTCTAAAAACGACAATAAAAAATCAAATGATCCAATCTATAATTTTTGCTTACCCGTTTGTGATCAAATACGATTTCTATCAGGAATTATATCCATCTCAATCTGGATTTTGACACGTCCAATATCATACTCAAAGTGAACTTCGCTTCTTGTGTTTTTACTTATTACTTATTAGCTCGTAGATCATAAGTGGGTTTTCCCCTTTTTACAAAACCTACGCAATTAAAACGGCACCTGATCATTGACGTATTGGTGGGGTAGTAATCAATCAACCTCAACATTTTTCCCCCTATTTAATTAAAATTTAATTTGTTTTCCAGGTCCTACACTCAGAGAAACTGTAATTTGGAGTGCCAATCCAATCACACCTTAAAGCACTGTTCATGCGTTCCCTATTATTTACCGAGTAAGAATATTGCGTTTTGACGTTTCGTATGTATGTATATTTATATAACCATCACATCACGCAACTTTCTTGCCACCACAACCCCTGATAACATTCCGTGTTAAGTATATTAATGCAATATTTTTGTCCATATAATTTCGTTATCTTACCGCTTTTTATTTAAAGCCACTACATTACTTTGCACTATGTGGGTAATTTTATTAGAAAATAATTTTCCGTCTTATTGATTTCAGAAAACAAGTTCATCAAATACTGCGGCAAAACGGAAAAGGAATGTGTGGACCAAGCCAAAGAAGATATGGAAGTTGTCTATGGGAATGGGTAAAGCATTATTGTCTGATAATACTTTTAAATTAATGTCATTGTGTTTATACTTGTAGGTCCAGCTGTCATTGTCTACCAGGGTGCTTCTTCCTCAGATTCTCAAATTCGAAATCGTTCGCCAAACTGTCGGACATGGGCCTTCGGGCCGAGGTCGGCAGTTACTCTAAGGAATATTTCATGTAAAATGTTTTTAATTTCTATCACAGAGCTAATTTCAATTTGTCACCAAATACTTCCTCACAATCCAGCCCTCCCTTGAACACAATTTGTATAAGAAAGCTTTCGCTTAGATCTCAGTTTCTGAGAACAACTTGATGCAATAAAGAGCAAGCGATACTACAACAAACAAAAGTATACCCATCCGCCTTCGGTGGTGGTATTTTGTAGTTCTGTTCGACATTTCCTTTTATTGTACGCACGTAACGCATTGATTACTTTCAGTTCAACATGAAACATTGATGTTGTTAACTCTATGCCACTTACTTTTGCAGGGATAACGTAGCTGTGGTGCAGTTTTTCTTTTTTAAATCGCAGTTCACCAAAGAAGTGAAAAGCGAACTTTTCGGATTTACCGAAATTTTATGTAAGTTATCAAATGTCTGAAATTCTTGCCTTGCCTTATATACATTTTTGATTTGTTTCAGCAAATGTAGGCGGACTTTTAAGTCTGTGCTTGGGTTTTAGCTTCCTTAGTCTGATAGAGCTATTATATTTCGTAACATTGCGGCTTGCATGTGAGTTAGCCAAAAAACGGAGAACAAACCAGAAACGACTTCATCACAAAGGTTCTCCGATTTATCCGTTTATGAAATAATAGTTATTTTTTTGGTAGCCAGTTGTCGACTCTAACTATGAAATTTCCAAAGAACATTTCGTTAAGTAAAATTCCTAGCTAACAACGCCATTTATGTATATCCAAAGAGAACTCCACAAATTTGAGATTTTCATCCATTTTTAATATTTGCTTTTGACTAAGTGTTTCAAAACAAATGGGTAAAATTTAAGGGAGCAATGTTTAAAATAAAGGGTAGTTTGTTACATAAATTTTTGATCAAAATCCAACCATTAAAAACCATTGAACGAAACAATTAAAACGAAAATATATAGAGCAATAAAATATTACGGAACTATTACTATTACAAAAACACACTTTCTGCATATTTTTTTATTTTTCTAAAATTAATGGAGGGGATATCTTTCTTATTTGCTACATTTAAGTAAAAACTTATGCAATGACATAAAAACATTTTTTTTATTTGATGTTTTATTTAGAAACACTTGTCTCCTGAAATTGTTTCATACCACTTTCTAAAATTAAAAAAAAAACATCTAAAGCAGTGCATAACGAGATAAAAAAATTGATTAGATAAAATATTTACTTCTTATTATACTTATTAATTATTAAATACGACTAATTTAATTAAAAATTTATTATATAACCATTTAATTTTTCAATAATAAGAGTTTTAGCTCAATAATGATGAAATGGCAGATATTCATTTTATCTATGGGCGTGCAAAAGAAAATTTCTTGGAAGCGGTTTACCAGGCTTCATCGAAATAGAAGTTTCGAAGAAATCAACCGACACCGCAAAGTTCGAATACCCGAATTAGAAGTTACTGTACAAAATGTTATTAAAAGGAAACCGGGGACAAGTACCAGAAAAATTGCAGCAGAATTAAATACTGTTGCATCAACTGCATGGAGGATATTAAAAGCACAATAGTTATATGTGTTATATCCATACCATGTACAGAGCGGTCAAGCTCTTTCAGTAAGAGATTTTGAACAGAGGATGATTTTTTTTCGAAATGCAATATTTAACATATTATCTTTTTGTTTGGAAGCGGTAAGTTTTATGAAACAAATAAATAAATAATAAAATAACAGCAGATAAAAATTTCAGTTTCTACTAAACACTTTTATAGAATTTTATTTTCTGCGTGTCATTGCGTAAGATTTTTTTAAAAAATTTAAGTTAAGAATGATAGGGATAGAGTAATTCAAACCCTTCCACTCATTAAAAAAAAAACAGATTTTTTAAAAAATAATATTTTACGGTTCTATTTTCATTTTCAAGAAAAAAGATACAAACGCGATATCTCCCTACTTTTTATTTTAAAGTAAAAATTATCGGTTTAAGTTGTGCACATTTGTTTTGAAACTCCCTGTATATAAATTGGATCGCACATTTTAACTCTAAGTTGAACTTGAAACAAATTTAGTTTAGTAGGATAATTTAGTCTTTTGATGCTATTATTTTGTCGGGAAAAGCAGAAATATATGTGCAAATGCAAATTCGTGTATTATTTTGTTAATTAAGCTAGGGAAAGAGGAATCCCTAAACGTTTCTTGAAATTATATCATTCTATGGAACCATTTTGTATGCCCCTGGTATTTTTTTTCAATAATATTTAAAATTCTTGCCTTGATTGAGTAGGTGCCCGCTAAAACCAAAGAAGAAGACTTTATTCTTTGCCAATAGCGGGCACTATACCATGCAGTAGTGGGAAGAATTGTGATCTATGGTTTTATTTTGACGTTTCGTGACTAATAAAAATAAATAGTTTTGTGTTGTTTTGGATTTTTTGTGGTAAAAAAATAACCACGATTGCCATCAGGAGTTTTGAGTAGCTGCTGAGGCTGTGATTTATTGTTCTGGTAGTTGCAAAACGCAGTTAGTTATGAGTTCATAAATTATTGTTACTTTATATAACAGCAATTTAATTTAATTTTTTGTAATGTAATTGACGCAATCTAAGGAGACGTGAACAATGATTTCCCATTTATTAGTGTTTCTAGCGGGTCAAGCAATTAATATGGTTACTTCCGAAATTTTTGCTGTGAGATTTGTAAGTAGTTTTGATTTGTTATTTTACTCCAAAGTGAAATGAGAGTTGTAGGATTCTCAGTACTTTTTCGAAGAATTTCCCGACGCCCCTGCCAATTTCGGTCCCAGCCTTTTTGAAGATGGTATTGGTCAATAGTAGTTTAAAGACCATATAATATCCATTCAGTTTCAGCCGTTAAAGGTGTGCTTGTGGATGCTAATAGAAGCGGTTGTTTCAATGATATTGAGCCTCCTGATGTAAACCCTTTGGATAAATCTATTGTTTTATTGCCCAGATATTCAGCTCAGAATTGTTCATTTGAAACCAAAGTTCGAAATGCCCAAAGTGCTGGGTATGTTATCTAATAATATCATCACTGACTTATTGTCTTATTATTTTAGTTATGATGCTGTTATTGTATACAATATAGGATCTAATGAGTTAATACCTATGTCAGCAACAAATAAATCTGGCATTGCCATCCCTTCTGTATTTGTTGGTGAGCAATCTGGTTTGATGTTGAAAAATATCTACACAGGTCCAGAATATTTTATTGTGATCACTGGCGGGACCCCTTTTAACATAGAGACACATTTGTTGATACCTTTTGCTATTGTAGTTGGAATTTGTTTTGTTGTCATCATGGGTTTTATGGTAAGTTTAATCATGTTGGTGGTTACGGTGAGTATTAAATAATGAAGTAATTAATTATAGAAAACAAATACTTTTAAATATTTTTGTTTTTTAGATTGCTAAATTTATTAAAGACAGGAGAAGGCAAAGAAGGCATAGATTGCCAAAGTCATCATTAAAAAAGATACCTACTTGCAAGTTCCAAAAGGGCGATCCTTATGAGACCTGTGCAATTTGCTTGGATGACTTTGTTGAAGGGGAAAAGTTACGGGTCCTTCCCTGCAATCATGGTTCTGATTTACTGTTGTTTTAAGCATATAAAAGACAACTTAAAATGATTTTTAGTGTACCATACAAAGTGTATCGACCCATGGTTGACCAAAAACCGGAGAGTTTGTCCCATATGCAAGCGAAAAGTATTTGCCCATGATGAGCTCCATCACAATGAGGCAGACAGTGATTCTGAAGCTGATGATACAACCCCCTTGATTAATGCAAGCAACAGGGGTACTCAGGGTGGCACATTTGAAGTAAATTCTTCATTTTTAACTATGCTGATACAAGCATTACTGTCACATAACCGAAATGCATATCAAAAACCTCTTGGTGGTCAATGAGGCAATTTGTTATTGCAAAGTTGTTAATTTTAGGAGCTGAGGGAGAACCTTATTCAAAGAGCAATAAGGTCCATATCACAGCAGTCGGGAACCGCAAATTTGGTGACAGCCTCAGATCATCACAGCATTAATGGAGAATATGTCAGTACCACCAGTTCCACTACAGGTGAGCACAGGAAAAGAATATCAACCATTATTTCTTTTTTATTAATTGTTAGGTACAAGTGAATTAGAAAGCTCAGGTCCCTACCACTTTTGTGATGAATTTGAGGTACATGTACACCAGCCACAATTACAAAATGTTTGTGACGATTGTGAGGTACATGTACACCAGCCACAATTAGAAAATGTTTTTGATGATGCTGAAGTACATGTCCACCAACCGGACACATCGAGTGAACCAAGTTATAATAATGACATCAGCATTTGAACTACTCTGTTATTTCTTTGTTTTGATTTCTAGTCGAGTACAAAACAATTGGTCAACAATTTTGTGAAATAATTTTCATTGGTGCTAAATAACCAAGTTGGGGATGATATGATATGATGCTTTAACTAAGATTAATGGTAATAAGTTAGAATTAATTGACTGTTTTACTGTGTCAGGATGAAAAGCTACAGTGTCCTTGTTGGCTTAAAATGCTTTAAATCTGAATGGCAGCACTGACAAAAAAAAGAGAAGTCAATAATTATAAAACAAAACTGCAAAGTAATGCATTTTTAAAATTTATACTGTTTGGAATATTGAATCCATTTGTAAGTTGCTGTATAGTAAATGTAATATGTGTGGCGAAACGATATTTTTCATGTAATTTTTAATAATTGACAATACATGACGGTAATACAAGGACAGACAAATTTAATATATTTTCTTCTAAAACGCAAAGCATCCACAATATAATTCAAACAATTAAATTATGATTCAATAATGGGTGATATATTATATGCTAATTATATTTTCTGATTTCAAAAGTAAAATTATCATTGTGCATACTTTATACTTTTGGATTGCATACTATTAAAATAGTTTTAGTTATATTCTAATAACAATTCTTTAATTTTAAGTTACTTGTAAATAGTTATTCTTTATTAAAATGTTTATCAAGATAAATTGCTATTATTATTTACTAATGTAGAAAACACCATAAATACCTACCAACTTTCATAAAGATATCAATTAATTCTAATATGAATTTTACAAAAATTTTATTAAAAATATGACAATGTTTAGTAAATACTGCACGGTAAAGTTTCTTTTTCGATATTTTCTGTTTCATAGGTGCAAATAAAAAATGCTATGGATAAACAAAATCAGTTCATGGAACGCTCTACGACTACGTTTGTTCTGTGGTCTGTGAATACGTTGGAAGTTTTACCTGAAACGCTCTAGTCTTTGATAAAAGACAAAAAAGATGTAGTTAGGTTACAGGAGTATTTATTTTCTTAATCCACTCAAGATTAAAATGTAAAATTTTCTTACAAGAATGAACTACAATGATACAAATAACATTAAAATTGAAACACATCTTAATATCTTTCGGTGTTCTTTTTGGTAAGCACTCGAATTTGTCGTTGAGGTTATGAAATATATGTTTGTTTTTGTAGTTTTTTATATAATATTGTTTAAATATCGTCACAACAGTCCCGCTTCGGGCACGGCAACCGGTAGTACAGAGACATGGAAGTTCCCTGAAGATGTAAAACATGCTAATTATCTGTTAAATGAAGCATATCGTAAGATTGAAGCTCTTGAAGAAAAAATCATTTTATTAGAGGGAAGGGTGCCCAAAACGTATCCTGACGTTAATTTTCTCAATTATCTGACGCGAAAGAGAATTTTGGTAGAGGGGCTGACATTACTAGTTGGACAATATTAATAGTAAATACTTCATTTAGGTAACAGGTGGTGCTGGATTTGTGGGCTCACATTTAGTGGACAGACTAATGATGGAAGGACATGAGGTAATCGTGGTCGATAATTTTTTTACGGGTAGAAAAAGAAATGTGGAACACTGGATTGGACATGAAAATTTTGAGCTTATACACCACGACATTGTTAATCCTTTGTTTATTGAAGTGGATGAAATATACCACCTTGCAAGCCCTGCTAGTCCGCCACATTACATGCACAATCCTGTGAAAACTATTAAAACAAATACATTAGGAACAATTAATATATTAGGTAAAACTTTTTCTTTTGTTTATTGGTGTAGTTTATAAGAATAGGTCTTATATAACAGTATTAATAATATAACAAACCAAATTTATATATTTTTTGGCAATAATAAGTAAATTTTATTTTATTTTTACCATTTTAGAGTCACTCAAGCTTTATTTTATGTTGTAGGTATAAATATATTGTCTGCATGGTCACAATAAATCAATATTTGAGTTATCTTTGTTGAATCATCTCTTATCAGTATTGAAATAAATAAGCAGCATGTGATTAACTTTTTTTTTTTTATTTAGGATTAGCTAGGCGATTGAATGCGAAAATTCTTATAGCAAGTACTTCAGAAGTGTATGGAGATCCAGACATTCACCCCCAACCTGAAACTTATTGGGGACATGTAAATCCAATAGGTAATGTTTAAAAATACCCACTTAGTACCAGGTGTCCCAGTAGAGGCAAGAAGGTAAGGTATTGGGGAAATGACTGTGGAAATTAAAAAAAAATGTCTTAAGTAAATCGGCTGAGAGAAAATGCTGGATATTATTTTTGAGTTTTTAATATGGCCACCATGGGGGGTAATTGCTATCTTTATTTTTGAAAGTCAGTTTCTGCAAAATTTTCTAATAGTTCTAATAGTTATAGTAAGTCCTTTGATAAAACTGAGACAAACCCAAATCTTTTTTGTTAAATGCTCTAGCTTTAAAAAGAAAGTGCGTTAGAACATTTTCGGAAATAAATGATGATGAATTTAAGAGGCTTAATATATTCTAATACATTTGGAATCATTAGAAAGGCCTTTTTCTACGCTATTGATTGGGCGAGAGTGACGTAACTGCGATTCCTTATCTTGCCACCAAATAGTGTATTTCTGACAATTGCAAAAAACAAAATTCTGGAATAAGATAAATGCAATGCAGATCACTCAATAAGCGCCTATCAATCCACTAAGAACTATATCTCAATATCTTTATCCTAATTTAAAACATGAATTAATGAACTTAATACTAAATCTATCTAAATTAATTAATGTCTAATTATCACTGATTTACCAAATAAAACGGTTATAATTATTTAAATAACATTTAAAAATAAAATCAATGCAGCCATATTAAGGTTAAAATCCTGCATAGAAAATGACTTGAAGGCATTTCTAAAAAGTTCCATTTTGATTTTTTACTATTTGCTGTTTTTTATTGTATTCATAGGGTTGGAGCTAGTTGCATTTTAACACTTAAATAAAGTTTTTTTTTTTGCAATTGTCTTACTTTATTTACTATTTACTTAAAAAAAATTTTTTCAAATTTCTTGTTTCCCTAATACCCTACTTTGTTGCCCTTACTGGCACATTCTGCATATAACTCAACAGAGTAAAATATTGTAGGTCCCAGGGCTTGCTATGACGAAGGCAAGCGGGTTTCTGAAACTTTGACCTACGCATATGCCAAGCAAGATAATCTGCAGGTCAGAGTAGCTCGAATTTTTAATACCTATGGGCCGAGGATGCATATGAATGATGGTCGGGTTGTATCTAACTTTATACTTCAGGCTTTACAAAATGATGTTATCACGGTAGGTTGCCGATATTTTTTTTTTAAGTGATCCCTTTTTCTGTTCTGTAATCTAGGAAAAAAACTAATTTATTTATTTATCAAGTAACCCAAAACTTCATTTCCCAGACCATCATTAAGAATGTTGATGACAATCTTTATTGATAGGGATCAAGGAATAGTGATTTTGTTGCAAGATTACATACATACATATAACATCTTTAAATAACATAAATTTTAGTCTTTTCATATTAGGAATAAATTTTTACAATGCTTTATGAGAGGCGAATATGAAGTTAAAATTTTGAATGTTTCTGAATTTGTATCCTCTCTTTCTCAGTGGTTTTATGAGAATGCTTTTGTGGGACATAAGGAACTATAGCTTATAACTCTCATAATTAGTGTACACGATTGGTATTGTTATGTTGAATGATATTTGCAGGTGTATGGGTCTGGAGAGCAAACAAGATCATTTCAGTATGTTTCGGATTTAGTTGAAGGTCTTGTTAGCCTGATGAATTCTAACTTTACCTTGCCTGTGAATTTAGGCAATCCTGTGGAACATAGCATTATCAGTAATTGAACTAAGCTTTTTCTATCTTTGTAAATGATAGTATTTCTTTGTAGAATTTGCCTCAATAATTAAGACCTTAGTGGGAGGTCATAGCAAAATTGTACATGTAAGTGAAGTCGAAGATGATCCTCAGAGGCGACGGCCGGATATTGCCCGGGCCAAGCAATACCTTCAATGGGAGCCCAAAGTTGAACTCAATGTGGGACTTCAAAAGACTGTCGAATACTTTAGGCAAGAGCTGAAGCGATTTCGCGACTCACATAGAAACAAATTTAAAATTCAGAAGCCCAGATAGGATATTACCAATGTTGCAAAAGCAAGGGGATATTTGTTCCTAAAATTTTGTTTTCCTAATATTTTCAAAACGTTGGGAAAGGTGTTATGTTGAAATTTTATTAGAAAGAAACAATAGCGGTGAAGAAAAGAAACACAATGAAAAGAGGATGATATTAATTTGTTTGACAGTTTTATCATTAATATATTTAAAATAGTTGTTTTCCCATTTATTTCGTTTTAATTGATACCGAGTATACTATCCTCATAGGCTTAATCCTTGTAGAAGGCTAGCATAAGCCAACTTCCTTACGAATAAAGAGAGAGCAAACATGCATGTGTAAGAAATTGGTTTTGCGAGATTACTGCGTGTGCGCATGTGTAATACGCAACAAACTTACCTGTGTTATCATAGGATTTTTTATTCGAATTTATAGTTACACAAGAAACAGCCTCCATGGGAAAGTATTTTCACAAATATGGCTTAAATTGCAAATTGCTGCAGTAAACCCAACAGGGCATTTGTCAGTTGTCAGCGGTGTTGCCAGAACCGCCAGCCCAAAAATAAACTAAATAAAAATCTAACTTTATATGTAGAAAATATATAAAAATACTTTTAATATAGACGGTTACTCAAAGAACCTTTTATTGCTTCCCGACCTTCATTCCTTTCTCTCTTTCTTCGAGGGGAGTTCCTCAGCCTTCTAGGACTATTAGTTCTATGCCAATCAACTACCGGTCCCTTCAACTTTCGCGAGGTTTAATTCATTGAATCCCAATGTTGAAGTTAAAAAGAAGAAGAACAAATGTCATTTCTTCGTTTTGTTTGCTAATAAGAGGAAGCAATATGTTCTTTGGTTTTTTTTAAATTAACGGTAAGTGTTAACTTTTTTGTTTGTGTGTGTTATTACGTTCCCAGCAGAAGTAAATCTCATAATGAATGAATCCTTTAAATTGTTGAGTTCTATGTCCCCTAAATGTAACCAGAAAACAGTGACCAAAGGTAATATTTTTGTATCATTCAAATTATCAAAATTAAAAAAAAAATTTTTTCAGCAGTTAAAGTGCTCGCCTTAAACAGACACGTGAGAAGGTCTTCAATATATGCAAAAATCCCAACTATTCGAAATGAGAATTTGGTCTTGGTAGATGGAAGTACCAACTCGTCATCCAACAGTAAGAGCAAGCTGGATGTAACAGCCTCTAAAGTACATGATGTGATTGTTATCAACTCTAGTAGTGATAATGAAGGGGAAGACAATAAGCAAACAGCACCGTTGTATAATGACAATAGATCAAAAACATCTAGAATTCAAAAATGGTTGGCTGAGATTGAAGCTGAAGACAAGGGGACTTTAACTCAGTTTAGCCAGGTTTCAACGATTTATGGAGATGTTGCTTTAAATGAGAATGGTTGTGCTATACAATCGACTTTTATTGACCCTGCGACCCGAAGGTTTGATGAACTTTTTAAAACCAATTCTGTTTATGTAAATAAGGAAACTGACGACGCCGTTCTGGATAAATCTGATGTATCATTGGAGTTGCAATTTGACATAAGTTTGCGCAGCAAACTTCTTTCCAAATCCACACAAAATGCAGATCGAAATAAAAAAGAACTTATGGATTTGACTCCCCAATTGTCTATGGATAAGACTAAGGACCAGTTCAAAACTATTAGAAGAAGAAACAACAAATACAGTAAGTCATATTATTTTTTATATGAGCTATTTATGTCCTCTCTTTTGAAGATAAAGCAAAAAAAAGTGTTAGATGTAAAACTGTTTTTATATTTTCCCATAACAATTCCTATTTCCTATATGCACAAACCCCTTAAAAACTAGGGCGAGTTGAAAAAGATAGGTCAACCCACTGGCAATTGATTGTATCAAAAAAATCGGGATTTCAATTATGCCATTTTTTATTTTCACCCACCGTTTCTATAATATTTGAACTTTATTAAAAGAATAACATTTTTATTTAGAAACTTGTTATGCGTAATTTTCCTGTTCTGTTACACTTTTCCTGTAAATTTTCTATACTAGCAGAAACAACAGGGTGTTGGGTAACCTATTAGCCTATTACCTCCCAAATTTATTAGATTTTGCATATTAGTTTTATTAAACTGCCAATTCATAATAATTAATTCAGCTTTAGAAAAATCCATATTTTGTTTTTATTTATTTACACTACAATAAATTTTACCAATTTATCTACTCAGTTGCCATGTAAAAATTTGACAATGTTATTTTGTCATGACCAACTAATGTTATAGCAATAATCTTAGACATAAAAAAGGGTAAACATTGGAAAAATTAAAATAAGGGGCAATTATTAGAAAGAGCTATATGACACACTTATAGTTGAATTTCTTTGTAAGGTGTTTCAGAAAAATAACTATGTGATGTTCCATTTAAAAAAATCGAGATTTTTCAATTTAAAAATTACCAAATATATTTGTTTATTTTGAACACCCTGCAGCATCGAGTTGAAATTCCGTTGCATATGCCTTTTGCGTCATCTTGGAATTACGCTACATTCAAATATGAGTGATTTACCTTTAAAAATAATAGTTCTCTCGTAATTTAAGTGTTTTTTTAGCTAAATTAAAATATTGTGAAAACTATTAGGTTTACGTATGTATTGTTCATAATAAAAAAAGTTGAGGAATTTTAAAAAGAATTCAAAACATACTTTAAAAATAGGTGCTTTTGAGACACCCTGTATACTTTAAAATCATTTTAATAATTTCAGATAATGAATTTTACACTATCGTTGACTCACCCTGTACAATACCTGAAAATATACAATTGTTTCCAAAAATTAAAAAGGAGGGAAAAAATTATGCAAAGTAAAGCGTGTATTCAAGAAAATATATTTTAAGACCAAAAGCATAGATTGATAAAATTTACGATGGTCATAAGGTGCAGGACACCCCTGTTTTTCTGCTAGAAAATTTTCAAGAGAAGATACTTACATATACATGCCTACCAAGTTTCAACAAAATATATGAAAAGTTGCGGGATATATAAACAGAAATGTTATTTTTTAAATAAAGTTTATCGCCACGTATTATAGAAATTATAGAAATCTGGACGAAAATAAAAAATTGACAAATTTCTAATATTTTCACACAAAGAATGCGCCATTAACGGGTTGATTCATCTTTCAGGCTCACCCTGTATATATTATAAAATAATTATATTTAGTTATGGAACAAAACGGGTTCACAATAAATTAAAATTAGTATTTAAGGGATCTTGAAAATTGTTATTTTTCATTAATTAGATGATACATTTGAACCTAGTAATATAGAAGCTGAAACATTGTTGGACACGCTATATGGTACCAAATGGAGGGACAAGCACGAACAAGTGTTACCACAGACTGAACCAAGGAAAGGTAACCATTCTTCTACTTATCTTGAAAATAGGTAAGGACTCCAGAAAACTAATAAGAAAAAAGTAAACTGAAATAGTTTATATCACAGAGCGGCCACAGACAGGAAAATAATAAATTGCAAAAAGAAAACCTTACAACCGAAGTCGCCATGGATGGATAAATTCAAAGAAATATGTGATTCAGAAACAGACAGCGATGATTTAAATATTGGAAATAGGGTGAATGTTAGAACTAGATTAGAGTTTGATAGTGATTGTGATTCTGACAACAATTTGAGAATTCAAAATAAGGGTAAAGGTTCCCCTTTAAGTGAGACTGAGGGTGAATCCTTAGAAGATATAATCCAAAAAAAATTAAATAGTATTTTTCTCACACCGAAAGTAAATCCTTTAAGTGACAGTAATAAAAATGACAATTCTAAACATAATGAGGACAACAAAGCGAGGATGAACAATAAAAAATTAAAACATAAGGAAAATGTAAAGCCTACGGGCGATAGGGAGTATGCCACGGATAATAAAAAAAAAATCAAATCTAGAAATCTTGGTCAGGATGACAAAATACAAAATACGAAAAAGTTTGCGGTGCGGACAGGAACTGTAAGTAGCAGTAGCAGCAGAGATTTTACGGAGGATTCCAATTCACCTTCCAGTGACGATGACTTTGATAAAGAAGTCACGCGTATTGTTGAAAGTCGGAAAAGAACCAAGAAACCTTCAAGTGAAACTTGCAGTTTTTTAGAATCCTTATCAGGTAAGATAGTTTAAGTTAAATAAAGATTGTGGCAAATGTAGACTGAAATTCAACATATATTGAATATAATTACAATATATTTTTTAAATTTAAAAAAAGCCAAAGTATTTTCTCAATGGTCGAAAAAGAAATAAGTATTTTAAAATTTTGCGTCATTTTTCTAAGGGTCCCACTAAATTTATTGTTCATCAATCACTTGAGTACTGGCGTTACAATATTATGCGTAAATAAATTTTTTCATATTATAAAAAGATCTCATTAAAAAAAAACTTTTCTTTTTTTTTTAATGTTCAGTCTCCAACCGACGATTGGTGCATGTCTTTTGAAACCCCCGCATAGACATTCAAAATATTCCGTTTTTAGTTAGTATTTGCAATTTTTATACCATTAGTCTTTCAGTCCTTTGTCTGGTTAAACTTCTACTTAAAACAGTGAAGTATGGTCTTAAAATAAACATCCTGTATGTGTGCGACCTTTGCAGGTCAGGTGCCACTGCTAAAGTGCGACGCAGCAGCCAAGATCTTTCGCACAAGTTACAAGCACTATCGTGACGAGTTAGTGAAGAAACTGTTTAATTTATACAACGACAAAGTGTTTGAAGGCATTATACCGAGGGACACGGCTATCAATTGGAACCATAATTTGAGAGGTACCGCCGGTTTGTGTCATTGCAAAAGGATAACTCATCGAAATGGTAAAGTGGAAAGGATTGTGTCCATTAGCCTTTCATCCAAGGTTTTGGATTCGCCAGATAGAGTTAGAGACACTTTGATACACGAAATGTGTCATGCCGCTGTGTGGATCGTTAATATGGTGTCGAACGGACACGGACCATATTGGAAGAAGTGGTAATTATATTTTTGGAATGACATCTAAGAGCAAAGATGAAGGAACTATCAGCTATTTATACCATATACCTACTTGTTTGAAATGTGATTTAATATTTTCAGGGCTCTTCATGCGATGACAATTTTCCCGGAATTGCCTCCAATAAAAAGATGCCACTCTTACGTCATTAATACTAAATATACCTACAGGTGCCAAGGATGCGGACAGACGTATGTTATTTTTTAAATAATTTTTATTAGGAAGAGAATAATATAAAAAATATACAATGTGTCAACCACACGAGAAAAGTGAAACATACATAGAACATAGAGAAAGTAATAAAGAATAGTGTTTAATTCAGTACTTAAGTGTACTAAAAATAGTTACCTCACCATTATTTTATATGCTTATTTTTTTATTTGAAAGGTTCTTCTCATATTTGCACAGGTCTAAGGTTGGGAACGATCCTTCTGGGCGTTAAGACGTACAACCGTAATTTCATTTCATTAAATGGTGTAGCAGTGTCTAAGCACCTTGAAAAAACATCGATTAGTTTCTCTCGTTTCATGTCCATAATTTGGCATTTAGATAATTATGATATCATTCTTATCTATTTAATTGGATCATTAATATTATATTTACTATCATAATTTCGTAGTCCATATCATATGTTGTATGCAACAAACAAATACATAATATGCCTTAGAGATACTACAAATAAAAATTTGGTATGTTGAACATGTGTGGATTCTATCACTCCTATGCGCGTACTACCTTGCGTAGAGACTCAAAATACACTCGAAATAGCAGCGTTTGGACACTCCTTTTGTTACTTTTTCTATGTTTAACAACCTCAAATTACACTAATGAGTGCTCCTAAAGTTTTCACTTTTTGAATAAGTGTGGAAATTGAAATTTCTACATGGCATCTTATTTTTTGACACTTTCGCGGGGTATCTTACCTTTAAAGATAGAAAGATACAATTTTCGCATTAAGTACTACCTTTTCGTTTTTGAGATTCAGAGTCTGTTTGAAAATGTTGTATTTTAAGTTGCCTGGTAAATTGTTTTTACATAATTTTTTGCTTAATTATTGGACATTTTTCTTAATGTGTTGAAAAATATTTCCCGTTTCGCACAAAAACAAAGACGCCTTGAAAAGTTCCGCACAAAGAATATTACAGTTTTGCAAAAGTTGCATTTATAGAGAGAAAGTGTTATAAGTATACCCTTTTTCAGCATTGGTAGACATTCCAAATCGTTAAACATCGAACGTAAAAGATGCGGCTTGTGTTATGGGAAATTCGAAATCTTGATTAACAAAACCACAAAGAATGGAGAGACTAAAACGGTACCGGTTACACCGAAAAGGGAGCCGAGCCAATTTGCTCTTTTCGTGAAAGAGAATTATGCGTTATACAAGGAACCTTCGCGAAAACATGGTGACGTCATGAAAATTTTGGGACAAAAATTTGCAGAACTCAAAGTGCAAACCGCGTGAAAAGCGCTATTGACTATTGACGACGCCCGTATAGTACTATGATCGTTTTCAGTACCCTAAACTGATGTTTTTAGTTTCGGTAGAAAATTTTATGCAGGTGGTAACTTAAGCCAAAACGTATTTTTTTACAATGTTATGTTTTAATGAACGCAATAACCTTTGTGATTCTGTGCAAATAAAACTATTTAAATCATATATTTCTTTTTTCATGTTTATTCCTTTTGACTTAACGTAGAAGACGAAATTGTCTACCGTAGAATCCATAAGTTACGTCAGATGAGGGAAAGGAATCAACAAAATGTCGGCAGTGAGGCTGGTCGTGATTTCGGAAGTAGTCAGGGCTCCTAAATTTAAGAAATTTTATGAATTACCGTAAGCGCTGCTATTAGAGGAGGTCCGCCATTTCATGATAAATACATTTTACTAAAATATATATTCATAGATGATATTATTAAAAAATGTATTTATAAACTAAAAATAATGTAATCAAACGATATAAGTGAGACAAACAAAAAAGAAAACGAACAGTTTTAGATATGACCGAATCAAAGAGTATTCAGAAATTCAATCAAAAAATAAACTTCAATGCCATTTTCTGAAGAACTTAGGCGCTATGAGAAAGTAACCACGAATAAAAAAGAACAAGCATCACAATAATAATTGTTCTTGCCTTAACAAGCATTTCAGCCTGGGCAAACTGAAGTTTTTTGCGTAATTGTCTTGGCACCACGATATTTTTTTGTTATTTAGGTTAGTCATCCTCTTTGGCATTTTAGCTAAAAACCTGGAATAATAATAATCACTATCTTATAATCAGTAAACGATTTTTATAATTCGACCACGAGAAGTTAAAATAATTATTAAAGTTATAGTTTGCCAGTAGTACGAGGGTGGGGAGAAAAGTTTCCAGCCTGACCAAGAGGTGGCGTCACTAGGTCTGCTTTTGGAGGGGCATCCCAGTATCATTCATACCGAGCTTGTTTATACAGTTTCAGCGTAATCATTACATTATTTTAAGTTTGAGGTTACATTGCGAGAGACGCTTCCGTTGTTTTCGTGAAAAAGGAAAAATTGTAAAAAGGTGCTGTCAAATACTTCAATTTGAAAGGTTTTACACCAAAACAAATTAAAAAAGAAATGGATTCGACACTAGGAGACTCCTCCACATCATATTCAAGTATTAAGCAAACGTGTGAGCACCTCTGACGAGCCTTGCTCAGTACGGCCCGTTGAGGTCACAACTTAAAAACAAATGCATCATATAGTGTTGAGTGCTAGAACTTGCGAAACAAAACCTGTGTGCAAGGTGGGTGCTCGACCAAAAACTGATTCGAAAAAACATTTCTACCGACAATTTGGCGCTTTATAGGCATAATCCAAACGAATTTTTGCGTCGATTCATAACTGTTGATGAGACTTGGGTCCATCACTACGCTCCAAAGCAAGATAAAACAATTTTATCCGCAAACAAGATTATAGCTACTGTTTTTTGGGTTGCGAGAGGAATTATTTACATTGATTATTTTGAAAAGGGTAAGACTATTGGTCATATTGCGCAGTTATTGCAAAGTTTGTAGCACGAAGTGCAAATTAAACGACATCATTTGACGAACAAAAATTTTTTTTGTTTCATCACGATAACGCACCAAGCGCAATCGGCTATTGCCATATCCAAAAACCACGAATTGAAGTTTAAATTGATACCGCAAGATCCCTACTTTCCAGACTTAACCCCCAGCGACTATTACATGTTTCCTAACCTAAAAAGATGGCTTGGCGATAAAAGATTTAAGAGCAACGAAGAAGTTATCGAAGATGTAAAAGAAACGTATCAGTGTTGATGGAGATTATGTTGAAAAATAAAGAAAACAAAATTTAAACATCGTTTTTCTTGATCACGCCGGAAACTTTTCCGCTCCCTCGTACATAGTGTGGTAAACTGACATGAGCGTCAAAATTCAAGTCGTGGGGTATTATCTCCGAAAACATCCCACTGCTCCCAAACCCGTGGGACACTAATATCTCGGAAATGTTCGAAGTGACTCGGATCCGTGGGAACTGACATGGTAAAATGACATTCCGTGCGCTAGATAGATGTATAATTAGGTATTTTACAGAAGGTAGAAAAAAAAACACAATAAACATTATTTTTAAAAAAGCAATAAAATAAAAGGACATTACTTCAATGAAAATGAGGTAGTATAAGTTCACCGCACCCATAGACACCGATAATTAGGTTATTAATTGCCTTTTTTAACAAATGCAAAGCTTCACAAATATAGAAATAGCAGCCCTTAAAGCTAGTTCGATTAATTTTGAAATTTATTTAAAAAAAAGGTAAGAAAAACGAAGCACCCCTTTAGGTGCCTTTTAAGAAGGGATAACAAATGTTTAAAACTTGTTCACTTGTTTCAATCTTAAATTTTAACTTAAATATTTATTTTACAGTCTAGATGTAATATTTTGTTTTTAAACCCGTTAACTTGATCGTTTTCTGAAACAACGGTTGTCACTGTTCAGTTTGCCGAAGAGGGTATTATATTAACTGGAACCAGTTTTATTCCCACCAATTGGGCTAAAGGAGTTGCTGACCTTCTATAGGAGGGGCGGTATTCTGGGCGCCCTCTAGAGCGGTCTGGGGCCCAACGGGCCCATCTGGTGCTTGGACACCCGCGAGGGCGCCCCCCTTTAATACCAATACCACCAATGTTTAACACACATTCATGATTTCTATGGGAGTGGAGTTGTGCTTTAGAAAAATGTGAAAAAGATGGACACAAATGCAAACAATTCAGGATAGTTTAATTTAAAAATTTTTTGCTTGTTTACATCATCAACCAGTGTAACTGTAGTATTCTCTACAATGTATATGACAATAGCTAGAATAAGTCGCATTCTTATGAATTTACGAAAGTAAAGCAAAGCAGTAAAAAAAAATAAAAGAAAAATAATTTCGATAACAAAACTTTACTGCATTTAATCAGCCCCAAGGCATATTTGGCTCAATCATATGCAGTGTGCAGAGTGTATATAATAAGATTATTTTTATGATTTTACGAAAAAAAAGTTTATAACACTATAAAACTCCAATGTTTGACACATTTTGATATAATATTTTTGTTGACCATAGTTTTAAGAATTCGGTTTCCCTACTTTTTATTAAAACTGTTTTATATTTTTTGTTGATTTTTTGGTAGAGGCCTACAATGCATAGAAACAATTTTTTTTGAGTCAAAATTATCTGTCTACTTGCGCTAGTGGCGTGGGGGTAAGGATGACGATAAATAAATTACATTTTTCTACTCCCTTCTATAAAATGCCCAATTATATATGGATCTAGCGTGTGCAAAGAGTCGTTTTATCACTTCAGTTTCGTTTTCCTCGGATTCGAGTCACTTCGGACATTTTCGGAATATTACCGCACACGTTTGGGAGCAATAGGATGTTTTCGGAGATATTACCGCACGGTTTGAATTTTGACGTTTGTCAATTCTGACGGTCATGTCAGTGAATGTATTTGTGTTGTTTTGCAAAAATGTACCCAAAAAATAACGGTCGTAGAAACAGTATAATATGAAACATGTTTGGTAAACTCGTTTACCACACTTGTTGCATAATATGCTATTTTAAATTAGCTATTCATTTCGTAGTAAAAATGGCCACTTGACTTTGACTTTTTATGATTGCAAATGCTTATGATTTTCTGAAGAGGCCAGTGCTTTTTACCAAAGCGAAATATTTTCGAAAAAGGATTGCTCTGTATTTAAGTTCACCGTACTTGTTGCATAATATAGTATTTATTTTTTTCTCCTTCGTCCGAAGACACAAAGACAAAAAATAATTTTTATTAAGAAATGAAGAAAATAATAGAAAATTAACTCTTACCCGACAAAAAAATGTTGGACGAACGTCGTATAAATTTCAACAAAATATCGAAAGCGCCTAAAGCCCTTTTTTATTTCAACACACTGGATATCAATAGTAAAATGATTGTGGACCTAAGTTGAGATAAACATTTTCTCTTAAAATGGTTATATCATGCCCTATATAGCTATGACGCAATATAGTGTTCGCTATAATGCTGCAAAATTGGCCACCATTTTCCGAGGATTAATCAAGCCGCCTGTGATAAGCAACTGACGATCTCTTATTGGTTCGTCGATCCCTAAAATCGAGAAAACCAATTATACCGGCCAAGATAGTTTATACTTTGCACACAGGGTCCCAAAGTTATGAATAATTTAGTGGACCCGCCGCGGCAGACTTCAAACAACTCGGTGAGACGAATATGCAAATTAATAAATCTTGCGTCTTACTTTGAGTTGTCTTGAGTCGATCCGGTCCTAGTTTATCTGCATATAAATAGAAAGACGGACACTTGAGACTCCCTTATTGTCGGGCTATATGCGATGCCGTCGTTTTGCAAACGGGACGAGCAAAAAACACGTAAGTCCTTCAATTTCCGGTTTGATTTACGATCCTGTTTGTCGGTGTCTCTATGAAACCAATTCAATTTGTTTTTCTCAAACTGATTTTGACGTAATATCTGAAGGACTTCATAAATAATACCGGGTCGGAGTATATTCAGGCGGGGGAATATTTCTCCGTACCGAAGTTCTTGTGGTTCTTATGAGCGTTGTTAAAAAGATTTGGAAAAGTACGGCGTCCTCAAATTCGTACCGATAGATAAACGTTATTAGTAGTGAAAACAGTTTCTAATATTTTAATCTAGAAGACTTTGTAAATAAATATATCTGAGGGTATCTGATAGAAAGTGGAACATCTACGGGATCACAAAAGTCAAGCTCCTATATATAATTCTCTTTCCTACATGCCCCTATTATGGAGAAGACGCTGAACAAAATTTTACCCATTTATCGATAAATTTAATAATTTATGTGTTCAATTTACTAAAATTATTATTTATTTATTGTTACTTATTATAGTTCATTATATCGATATTAAACAAATATAGCTTTTGTCTTCAACAAAAATCTCATACCACCCAAAACTGTTTCTTATGATTTTACCTTGTAATTTGTTAAAGAATTATACGTTTATGGAAACTACACAAATTAAATATGCTTCAGTCATACTGTTATAAGAGATTTGTATTAGTGACCATCATATATATTACATTTTCATAAAATGTTGTCAAGTACTTTAAAGTGCATTCAATAAATAGTATATGATGCAACAAGTGCGGTAAATGGCAATTGAGTCACGAGTTTATTTGACTCGAGCGGAGCGCAGTGGGGCGAGTTTTTAATAAACGCGTGAGTTAAAAACTTTTTCTACTCCCGTCTGTAAATTACATAATTACCCACCGATCTAGCGTGCGGGAAGCGTCACTTTACCACGTCAGTTTCGTTTCCCAAAAATTCGAGTCACTTCGGACATTTCCGGGATTTTACCGCACGGATTTGGGAGCAATCGGATGTTGTCGGAGATATTTACAACGCTTTGAATTTTGACGTTTGTCAGTTCTGACAGCCATGTCAGTGAATGTATTCGTGTTGTTTTGCGAAAATGTAGTCAAAAACTAACGGTCGTAGAAAAAGTATAGTATGCTACACGTTCGGTAAACTTTTTAACGCACTCGTTTATTAAAAACTCGCTCCGCTCGTGTCAAATACACTCAAATGCCGTTTACCACACTTGTTGCATAATACACTATTACCATACTATACTTTTTTTACGACTGTTAGTTTTTGGGTACATTTTCGCAATACAACACAAATACGTTCACCGACATGACCGTCAGAATTGACGAGCGTCAAAATTCAAAGAGTGGGAAACATCTCCGAAAACATCCAATTCCTCCCAAATCCGTGCGGTAAAATCCCGGAAATGTCCGAAGTGACTCGGATTCGTGAGAAACGAAACTGACGTGGTAAAGTGACGCTTCCCGCACGCTAGATCGGTGTGTAATTAGGTATTTTACAGACGGGAGTAGAAAAAAGCAATTTGCAGCGGTTTTCTTTAGTTACAAATATATTATTTTAATTTAATTTTTAATTTTATAAATAAAATTAATTTTAATAAAAATAAATCACAACATAAGATGTTTAAATGGATTTAAAATGACTTAAGAAATAATGAATCTGCATATTTTACAAATTCAACAAACAAACGTAAAAATTGTTGAATAAGTTAATTTAATTAATTTTTAAAAAATCCACATACCTGTTGATTTTGGGTGCTTCTATTAATACAGTTTTCAAAAAAATTGTCTTGCACAAGGAAGAAAATCAAAATTTAATATTATGTTCACTAATATGGACCTTGTAAAATCTCTATTTCGTAATCAACTTTTTGCATAGTACTGCTTGAAAAAGCTGAGTAGGTAGATACTTTTTTTTTGCTTCTAATGAAGCTAGTAATGTCATCAGATATACAGAATCGGTTAAATGGGACAAAAAAATTATATTTAAATGTATAATTCCTTGAAGCTACCAAAATTATATTTTCAGAATTTTTAGATATACCAAATTCTTTAGTTTACTTATATCCTATTTCACAAAAAGTTGCATGGTTCAAACAGAATTATTTCGGAATTTCTTTATTTTGTCTGGATATTTTATGTCACTTTTCAATGTTATAGTGGTGGTTTAACATTGGGACACTCTATGGACAAAACAAGTGAATTTGGAGGAAACTCATTTTAATTAATAATAATTAATGCTTTCTCTAAAATATTTTGGTAGCTTTGGATATTATAGACTTAAATATATAACTTTTATCTCATTTAACCGATACTGTATCTTTAACGGTTTAAAAATAACCCATACAACAATTATTTTGGCTTAAAAGGAATAGGTACATGTGGAATGAACAACAATGAAATGCTAAAAATAAACCGATGATGGTTAGTGTCAAAAGCCCATCACCGAAAGAACTAAAATCAATGTGACGTCGCAAAACCTTACACGTCATTTTTCATTGTCAAACCCGAGAAAGTTGATTTCAAATGTTGTTTGTTTGTAATTAGGGCGCGCAATTCATTTTTCCAGCTGATGGATAAAACCAAATCGTCGGTCATCAAAACGAACCCGAAGCCTGTGAGCGTCTTTTACGTGTGGTACTCTGAACTGTGCAGACGGCTGAACATACACCCCTCACCTTTCGTTAAACCCGCAAAACCGAAGTCTCAGACCGTCCTAGACTTCACAGCGGATCGCCTAAAAGTCGAAGACTGGAATCCGATCATTAACGCGTTAAGACAAGATACCAGTCTTCACGTAATCGCCATACGAAGTCGGATCTCCAATTGTGAATTTTTACATGAGATCGACACGGAAGAAAAGGCGAGGAAAATGAAACGAAAATACGGCAGCATTTGGACCGCCTACGTTTTAAAACAACTACTGAGATCGGTGTCGTACACACTGAAGAACACTATGGTGCTCACTTACTTGGAACTGGACGGTTTGCCGCTATTCATGCCGTATCTGGAGCAGCTGCTGCAGGCGTTGAAAAAAAATCAAACCTTAAAGAACTTCTCGCTTTCCAACTGCTTCATTCAAGATTCCGGCTGCAGCATGGTCTGCTCATATCTGCGTTTCACGCCCAATATTGAAGTGCTAAATTTATCCGGCTGCCACTTAACTCCGGCCAGTGGCGAAAGTATCTCGAAGCTGATAAAATATCAACAAATCAACAGATACTGCGAGAGTTGGCAGAATTCGTTGAGATACGAGAATCCGGATTCCGGAAAAATGCGTGGCCTGAAAAGGATCACCCTTAATTCGAATCCTTCGTTTGATGACGCCGGGTTGAATTTTATCCTGAACGAACTAGAAGACGATTTATGGATCAAGGCTTTGGATTTGCAAAAATGCGGTTTGACCGAAAACATCTCGCCGAGAGTTTTGGACGTGGTCGAATCGAACGGCACGTTGGAGATATTCGACGTCAGACAAAACGATCTGCTGAACATTTCAACGATGGATAGGATCCTGCAACTGCTCAAACAACGACAACGGCTTGGTTTTCAACCGGAATTTCAGTGGTGTAGTACCGCTGTCGCTTTAACATGGACTTCCGTCCATTCGACCGTTTCGAAGTCAACAGTCCCTCCGGCTCGTGATGTGTATAAAACAAAATCGGCGCCGATGAAAAACTCGTCTACATTCGCAGACGGATCTAAAGTCCTGACCGTGAGGAAGACCAGAACGGTCGACCGCATACCGAATGGAGATCCCGCGGGATTCGCATCGTTGAGTAACACCAAACAACAACTACAGGAATTGAATGAGAAGCTGAATAGGGAAATCAAAAAGCGAAAGGAAATCGAGAAAATAAATCACGACCTTCAAAACCAGTTAAATCAAATTAGATCTACGAAACAAACGCCAGCACCCGACACCAAAAAAAGCATCCCTACTCTCGCGGCGGATAAGACGTTGGTTAAAGTGAACGGCATAAAGAAGGGCATTTCGAATAATATTATTGCTTATAATTCCGGCAAATTAGGCAATGTTAGTGTGTTGGCACCGAGCGGTAAGGAGGACAAAAAAACTACGAAGCAGCACCATCTAAAGAATGGTTACCATAAGAATGGTTTGTGCACTAACGGAGTGTCCATCAATTTCAAAAACAGTGTCTATAGCGTCTTTGAAAAATTATTTAAAAGCGGTCATCTAATAGACGAGAATGAAGTATTCGATAGTTTCACAAACGACTGCCCTAAAACTCCGACTAACGGCAAGGTGATAGATGAATCTTTATCCAACAGCCAGATGTCTCTTTACAATTACATGGAAGCACTGAAGTCACACGATACTTAAGCGAAAGGGGCGGATTAATCTGAATTCTCGAAGTTACAATATAGGTCGATAAAATTTAGTTTGATCTCAGGCTACATGTACGTAGTAAATGACAAATGGAAATAAAATGCTAACTGAACTCATACTTTTGTTTAATTTTGCATTTTAAATGCTAAAGTGCTAGTTTTTTGTTGATTGAACATTGATGATAAAGTAATCCTTGCTAGAAAAGTGATGCAAATTTTACAATAGAAAAAGACGGCTAGTAATGGGGATTATTACACTGGTCTGCAAAAAAAAATATTTTTCTCTCCTTGTTTTCATGCATGAATTCATCTTATTTTATGCTCTAAACACGGAATCTGTTATACAAATAAGTGCCACACGTAGGTTTTTAATTTAATATTTATTTAATCAAAAAAAAAAAAATTATTAAAGTATAAATTATTATAAGGAAATAAAAAAATGTGGGGGCTTGAGTTTTACAGTAAAAAATCCTAAATTATATTAACAAAACTCGATTGAGATTGTAGACCTGAACTATTTTTATTTTCAGCCTCCTCATTAACTAGTGGAACTGGAGGTGGAGTGTGTTTATCACGAGGAATTGGTCTCTTTGCAGATAGGACGTTCAGATAAACAATCTTATCTCTATTTTTTTTTCGAGAATCCTCGTGTAGATGTCATGCAGAAATAACAATCATTCTCATGATTTTGAGGCTCACTCCAAATCATTGGCATTGAAAACGGCATGGATTTGTGACTTTCTTCAAGCCAACCTCTCAACGTTCTTGAGCAGCTATTGCAGCATACTTTTGGCAACCAACTTTTATCTCGCTCATCGATAGAAAATCCAAAATATAGCTTATAAGCTGTTTTAACCAGATCGGTCATGACATGTCGCTGTGTTTTTAGTATGTATTCCCCACAAATGTAACAAAAACAATCTGAGGAATTTTTACAAGTCTGAACCTGTAACCTAAAATCACATAAAATTAATTTTAAAACAACTTTCAAACTTCTATTTTATATTTATTGGCTCTACTTAAAAAAATACTCAAACTACATATCAAATACTTAAATTCAATGTAGAGAACATGAACTTTATGCAAAACTTGCCAAAACATTTGATATAAAAGGTAAACAATTAAACGACAAGTTTTCACTGAACTGTTGTAGTGTCACAATGAATACTGCGCATGCGCGTATTTACTACCGTAAAATCACCTTCGGCACTTTCCTCCTTTCTTTTATAACCCTCTGAAACTCATTTGTATGTATATTTACTTTTTGTAACGTTGACGAATGAAAAAATTGAAAAAAATATAAAAAAATTATATCGAAAAATCTAGACGTGATAGAAAAAATCGGCTAACGGGGATAGATTCAAAATGTTTGAATCATTATTTATCATAAAATTTTGAAAGGAGGATTTCATTGCCAGCCAGTGTTATCTTTCTCTTGCCCGTTTATATAAATGAAAGAATGGAATGTGTTGGTTGTTTGGTTAATTTATTTACTACGGATATATTACTGAAATTATTTTTTGTTATAATCTTCAATCTTAAAAATTCATCGAAAAAAGCGCATGCAAATGTACTTATTAAAAAATTAATGGAAAATTTATTGGTCACAAAATAGGAGTATGTATTTTTTCAGGATTATTATTTCAAAAAAACTTTAAAATGCAAACGTAATATTTTCTTAAATATGTGTAGGGCTGTCCAAATTGGAAATTTTTAAAGAGAACTCCCCCTTGCTAAAAGAGTTTGACGAACATTAATGTAGTTGTCCGGAACATAGAAAACATAATTACAAGAACCACACATGGATCTCTGGTTCCGTTACAGAGTTTTTGGGTCATTTTCGAAAATGTACATTTTTAAAAAATTGCTATAACTTTTCTGTTATGAAAGGTTTTGTATTTCTTTGTGTTTCAGAGCTTTTTCTGCGAAATCTTTAATAGCTTAAATACAACCGAAAAATCGATTTTTAGGGTATTTTCGGAGCATCGAATTTAAAATTAGCTTTCGAAAAATGTACCATACTTCATAATTTTAAGTTCCTAAAAAAAAATAGATGGTTTGAACTTTCAACAAGTATGCTTTGGAGAGTGTCACCGTAATACAGAAAACAAATGCGTGGTAAAGTTCTAATTTGAGGTTGTAAAGTTAACCTTTCAAATAAATTTCAAAGAAGCTTCAAGACAAGCGTACTCGGTTCCACTTGTCTAAGAAGCACTTACACCGTTGCACTTTTTTGATACTCCCAGTTTTATTTGTAGCGACTCTTAAGTTTATGTATAGCTTTTTAGAGACTTATTCTCAAACTGACTACTTTTTTGTTTGTTGTTTTATGTCAGGATTTTGGTTGTAATACAATTTTCTTGGTATCTCTGCATTTTTCTCTGCATAAAAAAAATTATAATATCCTATTTATTTGAAAACTACTTGTTTGAAACTCTCTATATCAATTATTCTATATTATTGGAAATGTAATTGTAAGTACACATTAATTTTTTAAAAATATACAGGATCTCCCATTTAACAAAAATCACATTTTAGCTTGAAGATTAGTTTTCTGTCAGTTTCCCTTTAAACGTGGGCATTTTAGCAGACCCTGTGCATTTGTGACAATTAAATCAAAAGGCAAAGAATACCATAATACAAATTATAAAATTAAATTATTACATTTAATTATTTATTTAAATTATTACATTAAAACATTTTATTTAGATATTCATCTCTATATATTTTTTTATACAATAATTCGATTAATTTATAAAAAAAAATCATGTATATGCAAAAGTGTAAATGCTTTACTTACCTAAAAAAATATACTATATTTTGGCGGTAGTCAAAACAATTGCGAAAAACTTGAGGTGATTTGGTTCTAACTAAATGGTAGTTTATAAAGCTTGCGGAAAAATAGTGTTAAGAGGTTAAATAATAAAATTTTCTGAAAACGCTTTCTGTATTTTTCTTCACTTTTATACTAAAAATTAAACTGCCCTATATCATTAATTATAAACAAATAATTTTTTCTAAATGCAATGTTAATGTTGTTTTTGCAAGAACCAAAAAGTTTATAAATCAATCTATCAAAAAAAAATTTTTAATTACATAAGTTATTCTTTCGATTTAGTTAGGAAGAATGATAGGGGTAGTCTAATTCAATCTCTCTTACGCATTTTTTTTGTTGTTAAAATAAAAAATAAAATTTTTATTTTTTCAGCAATTTTGAAGTATCTCCCTAATGGTGAACCCAACGTTTATACACTAGTTTTTGAACAAGACATCACATTTGTTTTTGAGAAACCCTATGTATAATACTGAAATCATATGCAATACAAAATATTTATTAATTAACACAAGATTGGGACAGTCGATAATATTCAAAATATATCATTATATTTTCAAGAAGGATAAATAATAGAAATGATTTTAAAAAAAATATTGTTTTCCTCTTCTTGTATATATGCTGCGTTTCAATTGGTATTCCTGTAGTTGGTTTATACTGTTCAATAAAATTCATTATTATGATTAAAAATTCCAAACAACTAGAAAAATTGAGAAAAATATTAATAGTCTCCTATTAAAGGTATCTGCCATTAATATTAATGTGAACATGAACAAAACAATTCCCATTACTATCCGTCTCACTCAAAATAAAATTTTCCTCACGAAATGTATATACCGGAACCGTTGCAGTTTGATGGTGTAAAATAAGCTTAGGAATTTTAAACGCATATATCCGATAAGCATAAATCACCTGTTACCTCTGGACTATAACCACGTTCCGCTGCGGCGGCAATATATGGTTTTATTGACTGTAAATAAGTTTTCCGCGTATAAGCCCTTCTAGACGTGGCCTAGTCATCCGGGGGCTGGCCTTTATGTCACGTGTGTTTTCCGTAATAAATAACTCATGTTGGTTTACGGCTCGATAGGAGCTTTAAGACAGATCCGAATAAAAATAATGCAATAGCCGTGTCACAGGTTAAACTTACAGCGGCGCCTATTAGATTCCAGTGGCGTGCGGGCGATCTATAGGACGGTCTCCGATATCAGCAATTATATTAAACGATAGGCAAGACCGAATGAGTATTCGATTCCATCATAAACTTGTAGGTAAGATTTCTGTTTACTGGGTTGGGAAAATCGCATCGAATTGTACAACATAGTGATCGAAAACTGCAAACAGTACCAAAAAGAACGGTGTTGACAGAACGGGTTAGAAATTCATCAGTGCTTGTGTTTTTAAAAATTACGTAGTTCAATAACTATTAATTAATTTTTTGCTCCTGTATAGATTATGCCAAATTTGTTTTAAGAAATATTACATGACGGCTATTATTGTATTTACTTGGTATTTGCCAGTTTTCAATATAATTTCTCACCAAAACTACTGTAAAAGTAGGGTCGGAATCTTTGATATCCAGCAGCAGTGTGTTTTCTTTACTTCTGGACCTTGTACCTCAAAGGGGAGATTCTTAACTAGTCAAAGAAACTACAGATTTCACCAGAGGAAAGCAAAAGCAACGCCAGCGACGAAAGGAAAAACGACTTTGATTGATATCGGCTTTATCTCAGGGTGCCTAAAATTTAAATGAGTCACATGATGCAGTGTCACGTTAAATGTAAAAATGGATTCGCTAAATGTGGATATGTGCATATCTTCTAAAGACGATTTATGGAAAAGTTTCTCACTGCTGCACAATATATTCTCACCAGCAATCTAATTATTCAGTTTTTCTATAAACATTACATTTCTCTTTTGAGGATTAATTTAATTGAGTCTGTACTTCGCCATTCCTCTCTTTGCAATTTCTTCACACTCAGCAAATGCTTTGGCAAGTTAATTTTCCGCCCCTGGTTTATTACGAAGACGTGACCACCACGTCTCCCGCTTTATGTTCGTTGCCTTTCAGTAAGTAAAATTGGCCTACAACACTAGTGAGTGAGGGAGTTACCGTCTCCTTTAGAGAGCACGCACAGTTCCCGCGGGATCTGGAAAAAAGCGAAAAAACAAATTTTATTACTTTTTAACCGACATATTTTAGCACTCGTGCCGCGAACCTTCTTTTTATTTAAGACAAGAGACACGTTTCGGGCATAACGCGGTTACTG